CCCCAAAACCCCAAAACCCCAAAACCCCAAAACCCCAAAACCCCAAAACCCCTTTTTTCGGAATTATTATTGGTGGTTAGTCCTGCTTTTTAGCATCTTCTTTAGCATGAGTTACTTCGTCAAATTTTGATTCGAGTTTCTGCTTGAAAAGAGTAGGGATCAAGGCCACTCCACCTATCACGAATAGCCAAAAAACTTGTAACAAGCTGGTCCCTCCTAGTTGGGTAATTTCAGAAAGAATCAGCCCAGTACGACAATGAACTATGTTCAATGGAATCAAGCCGACGAATGTTGAGAACATAAAGGTTGACAGTGGAATATCCAAGATTGGTGAGGAGATATTTATCACAATACTTGGCAATAATGGTGTAATTCTTAAGAACAGAAGATAAGACACAAGATTGTGTTTATGCTCCTTGATCATTCCACTAAACTTTATAATTGCACCAGGGATTAACCTTACAATAAGGGGCTTTCCAAGAGTCCAAGACATTCAGTAACACATTGATGATCCAATTGTTGCAGACACTCAGACAATAGTGACTCCGATCACTCCTCCAAATAAAGCTCCTGAAAGGATACTTAAGAAGATAGGTCCTGGAATTGCAAATGTCTGGAGAAATAGGTACATGCATACAAAGGCTGCTAGCATTGTGTAGTAGTTAGTATCTGAATAACTCATAATAACCTTGGAGATATTATCTAGATCCTTCCCTTCCCTTGGAATTCTAAAAAGTATATCCTTCTCAGCTTCGCTAAAGGACGGAAGACTCATGACTACATACCAAATAACCGTAGCAAACACCACAAAAAGTACAGCTATAAAATAACCCACCTATCTTACCTAACCACGTCACATTCTTCCTAAAATCCTTCTGAGTGTCCTTGATCAACTTATCAATGTCTTCCTGTGTGATATCGCTGGGCATATTTAACCTAAATCAATTTTAAATATGGACAAGGGGTTTTGGGGTTTTGGGGTTTTGGGGTTTTGGGGTTTTGGGG